GGCTTTGATCGCCTGGAGGCGATTTTTGAGGAGGGGGTACTGAAGCATCTGTCAATCTCTGCCACTAATTGGATCAGCAGCTGACACAGCTGCAACTCATTTGAGTCCTCCTGGTGGCTTTTCCTATTTAAGGCGGGTTCAGTGAGCAGGTCATCGCTGATACATCGCTTCCTATGGTGAAACTCGCCTGAAGATCCTCAGGATTCTTGGACCTGCAAACCACCCGCATCTGTCAACATTACTCACCAGGAAACCAACGCTGTTGTCTGTCTGCCTCCAACGCTCAACCTGAAAACAACTGAAAAACTCACCTACCTGAAAAGTACTCACCTTGGATGGATACTTACACTGGATTTGAACCCTCTCCTCTACGTGTCGCTCGCCTCCTAGAACTGTAAGATCTCTTATTATTATTATTATTATATCCTCCAAGCTCCTCCTAAATTAAAGAACCTACCTGGATACTCACCTTCTTCCTTTCCCTCCACAGCCTGGACTCCCTGTACATTTCCCTATCACCTGTAAATAAAAACACTTACCTTTTTATTTGGTCTCCGTGTCTGTTGTCCGATAAACCTGCTCCTCTTTGACTTATACCTGAAAACCTGATAGGATATGCTTTACTGGAGGCCCTGGAGTTTGCGGGTTCTGTTCAGTATCTTAGCTGTTTCTTAGTTTGCACTCTTACAGACATCTCTGAGGTCCTGGGATCTGTTGGAGCCTCTTTTCCAGTTACACTTCAGTCTAGAAGATCAGGGGTTCTGGGTTCAAATCCCAGTGCTTCAAGCAGCCTTAGTCTTAATGAGTGAGAGACACAGAAATGATGCCATGCTGTTATGATTATGTATATTATTTCACAGTCTGCTCCTGCCTGCTCTTGTTTTCTGTCCCTCCTGCCATTATCTCATTTAATCAGCTCATTCACATCACCTGCGTCCTCCACTACTTAAGTCAGCCTCTCACCTCTGCTCATTGCCAGATTCTCATCAGCCTTTCCTGTGATTCTCCAGCATTCTGTCCTCATGCCTCGTTCTTGTCTTGTGTCCTCGACCTCATTCATGTCCACCGGTTTTTTGACTCCTGCCTCTGGTCCTCTTGGTTTTGTCCTGCCATCTGCTCCCACGGTAACAACCCTTGTTCTGGTTTTTTGGCTCACGTCTCTGGTCTCTCCCCTGAACGGCACTTCACTCCTTCGGACTTCCTGGAAAACGACTCGCGCCTGTCCCACGGAAACAAGAACCTTGCCTCCTCCCTCAAACTCAGATTTGCACTTCAGATTTTTGTGTATGACCCTTGCCTGCCCAACAACCCAGTCTCAGTCTCTCGGATCCCACCCGAAAACACAAACAGTGACGTCACCGCTTCACTCCGGAACCAAAGCAACTCAGTCTGTGTTTCTTCACGGACTCATTCAGCAAAGAACAGGTTAGTGGCTTTGGTTAATGTCTATATCATTTACCAGTCTTGTCCCGCCACTAATCCTGTCTCTCTATGTCCAGAACTGACTGACCCGGATCTGCTGCTAAACCAAAGAAACGTCAAGTTTGTGTTTAACTATAATAAATGGTTTAATCTTCCTTTGTGGTCCAGCCTTTTATCAGAGCTCATTTCTAACTACTTAACACATGCTGGCTCAGACATCCCCAGGACTAAAGAGGTCTGTGCCAGATGTTGGGAAACCAGAACATTCTGATGAGAAATAGGTTACTGAAACAAGACATTAAAACATGAAATGAGGTAGACAACTTAACACTGTTGTATGCCTAAATACCCTGTCAAATACATACAACAATACTACTGCAATTATAAGCAAATACACTGGAGTGCATGAGAAAGAAAGCCCCCAATGATGAACTGCTAAATGTGTCTGGCAGCAGAAAGTCAACAGCTGTGTTTCCATCAACTTTTTTATGCACATGTTGAAGTGTCACATAAGAAAAGATGGATGGAATTTGCAAAACTTTTCTCAATTTTGCAAAAATAGTTTCTATGCTCACTTGAGGCAGTTTTTGGATTTTCTGAAAAAGAGCCAATGTGCAAAAGGTGAGATGGAAACACATTTGCCATATAAGTTCTGATGTATCAAACATTTACCTCAATCAGCTGTTCCCGCTGTCCAATAAAAGATGTTGATACACATTCTTCTCCTATTTAATTGGTTTACAGTAACTCTGTGAAAACAACCCTAATTTGTTATGTTTATGAATGTGGCAGTATGCCCTGTAGGCTTTGAACGCACCACACAAGTGCCTGCATCTAACTGGTCGTGGCGCTGGCTGCCTGTATATAAAGGGCCCTCCCTCACCTGGTTGACATCACGCTCTTCTCCTTCCGCTTCAGACCGCGGCGTTTATTGTTGCCGCATGCTAGGTAAGGCAGGCTTCATCTCTCTCAATCAAGCTTGTTACTTGTGATTTATTTACATTTTCTGTATAACAGCTGCAAAATAATGCGCGCGTGAACAATGCGCTTAATGACGCTCTGATCGCCGATCAATCATCATTCTGGTAAGAATCTTCCCACACTTGACATTTGTTAGCTTAGCTTTAGCTTAGCTTCTGTTGCATATCCAGGCCGCCTGTATACTCTCCCAGTTCCTCCTTCCCTGTTAGAGGCACTACTTAAAGAAGCTCAAGTGGTAAGTGAACTGCTAGTTTTTGCATGCTTTTTAGATTCTATTTCTAACATTTATTTTTTGATAGCTGCTGCTGTTTGTCCATGGCTGGCTGTTTGTCCTGGGCCGGCTGTTTGTCCATGGCTGGCTGTTTGTCCTGGGCCGGCTGTTTGTCTGTGGCTGGCTGTTTGTCCTGGGCCGGCTGTTTGTCCGTGGCTGGCTGTTTGCCTGCTGTTCTGGTCGGCGTAAAGCTGGCTCCTATCACTCGTCCAGTGGGGCTGATTTGGGCTGATTGGTGATCAGCTCCGACTATCCTTCTGGTGCCGCCCTGAGTGGTGTCTGTTACAACGGATCGGTTCCTCCCAGGACGGATTTTCTGAATTTGGACTATACTGCTTGATTGATCTTGGACTGATTTGTATTTTATTGTTTGTAATTTGAATGTTCCTTTCTTTTATTTTTACAGGAACGGCCAGCTCGTGGTGTTGGTGGTGGACTTTCCGGGTGGTGGTACTCCCACTGGTTTGGTGCACGATTTTCTTTTGTTTGCTTTGTTCCGTTTGCTGGGTTTCTCTTTTCTTTAGGACACTACCCTGAATGTCACTCCTCCCTGAGTTGAGCCAGGACTGACTTTTAATGTGTGAGAGGTTTTAGCTAGTGTTTTTGAATTAAAATTATGGTATGATAAACAAACTTATGGAATTGTGAAATCGTCTCAAGCCTCATCTGTAAGCGGGTCTGCGTGCCTTAAGCTAACTTTTATAGTGGAGTTATTATAATCAATCTTATTTTTATTAAAATAGTGTTTTTGAATTTAAGTTGGTAATTATTATCACACAGCTCCCGCCACATAACAAATGTTTGCAGGTATGAACAAACCATAACACTTGCTGATTTCTGCAGACTTTGGAGCTTTTCATCTTTATCAGGGGCTGAGTTGGTTATCCCTTTTTTCTGTCAGCTCCTCTGCTGCACTGCATTAAAAGTCTATATGGGGAGGGTTAGGGTCAGGGAAGTTCTTCTACAGCTAAGCCCCCATTAGGACAGCTATTATATGTTTGTTGTTGGTGATAAATCAGCATCTCTAAATAATTTACCAGCATGGAAGAGTGCTGTAAGAGATTTAAATGTACTACACAGAGAGTGGAAAGCTCTCACTTTGACCTTGTCGTCTTTATAACTCACCTTTCCCTCTGATCACTTCCGACATCCCCCGTGTGCCTCTATCCTTTTTTTCTCTTTCAGCCTTTGGCCAGGTTTACAGAAACAACATATTTTATATTTACCCAAACCTTACTGTCAAGTGTTTGTGAAATTATGTCAACTGTAAGGAGGGATTTTATGAAGCTAGAATTTAAATTTGTCATGTATCAGAGTAGAGCGTTATCTTAATTAGGGTCACAGATGGTTTTAGCTGATACAGCTTATCTGTTGATAGATTTTTTTTATGTTCAGGGTTATCAACAGTTTAACAAAGAGGATGAAATCTGCTGCAAGTGCTTATTCCTGTCCAAAAGGATCACATTTTTTTAATCTTTGTATTGTGTTTGTCAGCCATAACCTTGCATTTCTATAGGGTCAGCTTTTCAGAATCTGGAACGAGTCTGTAAAAGACAGACCCATACTCCAACAGAAAGGTTTTGCAGAAGTTTTAATTGTTTTTTTTAAGATAAAAGAAATTTTAACAGTTAAACCTACTGTTAGTCTTCATTTCTTTATCCAAAATATTGCAAATGCTGTGTTATAACTTTGATTTCCTCTCTGTGCACTGCCTTCAATAAGTGAGGGTCCTCCAGTCTCAAACATCATGTGGGCAAAACAGATTGAGGGAAGAATTCAGGGGGTGGAAATAATCAGTCACTTCAAGGCTTTCAACTGCTAAGTGCAAGAAAAGGAAATACTGATGGTCTCAAACTGTAAACATTGACTTATCATTTTGTGCTTCTTTCTTGTTTCACTTTGGTACTACACAAACATTTCCTCTAAAAACTGTTAAACTGTAATTAATAGTTGTGTTTTAATTGTAGCTCTACTGTAGCTTCTTGATTTTCAGTGTTAGCCTCTAGAAAAGATGGGGGATCATGCATCTGCCTGTGTTTGTGTCTGTCTGTCAGTGTCAGCAAAATGTCTTTTAAACCGCGGGACTGATTTTTATGAAACTTTCACAAAGTAATCACTAATTGAACACCTACAAGTCATCTCCAAATTTACATGTAAACAAAGGCGAGTAAAAAACTTTTAACCACTAAAACAGCAGTTTTCTTTGAAAACCCACCAAAGCAGAGAGTTCACAAAAAAGCAGGGCTATTCAGCTAAATTGCTTGGGGGGCCACAGTTACTGCCGGTCAACAGCTGAGGGGCCAAACATTCAGCAATTAAAGTTATTATGTAAATAAACCAAGTATTACAAAGATCTGTTACTTTTGAATTGGTTTATTTTGCTGCATTTAATCATGAATACAACATAGAAAACCCTATAAAGGTAGTGATAATTACACATGATCAAAAACAAAAAGAACACATTATGCCTCCTATTAGACACAAATAATATTTTGACATCTCTGACTCGCCAAATATTTAAACCAATTTTATTTTCACTTTCATCATTTTATCTTCAACTGCTTGTAGTTTTAACTGACTTGAATGTTTATAGAAATGTTTTTACCAGCTTCTAGCCAAGATTCTGATGTTTCTGTAGATACCAAATATATCCATGTTTAACTAAAAGAACTTAGAGTAATTAAAGTAGAAAACCAGGGGTTTGGGCTTAAGAGATACATTAACCAATTGGCAGGCCGAACTTTGGTCACTCGCGGGCCGGATGTGGTCCGCGGGCCGCCAGTTGAATAGCCCTGCAATAAAGCTTTCATAGATTCAATTTAATGCTAAATTTAAAAATACATTTGTGTTTGGTTCATTTCTTTGTTGTAAC